GGAAGCACATGAGTGCAGAAAAACACCCACTCTCAAGGAATTTTTATCTCTTTATGATGTAAAACTAAGGTACTGAGTTAACTAAAAAGACGATTAAAAGAGCACGACTTATTCACTACATTTTGTATAAGCAGATATCAATTTAAAACAATTACAAACAAGAAAAACAATAAAAGGAAAAGTACACTGAGAAATACTTTTAATAGTTGAAAATATTTCTGATGACAGGAAATCTTAATAAAAACCCCATTACAAAAAAAAATTCCCCTACTTTTCTACTGCCTTAAAGGAAAATTCATTTGCAGGTTTAGCAGCATAAGGTTTCAAAATGTCACCACAGTTAAGTTCTTTCAGGCACTTCAATAATACTGAATTGTTTTATCTGACCGTATACCACTCATCCAATGTAAAAAAATTCTTCACAACACCAAATACACTTTAACTTAAGAAGCAGTGTTTTTCTAAAAGTTGCAAAGCATCTATGAAGAGGCTCCTGACCAACATTGTAAAAACAATGCCCAAAATACTCTTTAAGGAAACATTCCTTGGATCAAAGCAAGGTTTCTTATATATTAACAGTTCACTCAATTTCCAAAATATTTTGACAAGAGAAAAGCTCCTGAACATACCTGGGTCTTGGAAAGAACCTAGAAGCAGAAATGTTTGATTTGTTTTTACATTTTGAGAACAGTTTTAAAAAGCAAGAGTGCATCTTTTCTCCTCATGTCAATAGAGAAGTAATCTGTCAACAATTTTTTTTTTGAGAAAAGCTCTTTTATCTTCGAACTTTTGAAAAGAGTCACGAGATTTGACAGGAATATCTAGATACCTTCAGATTACAGGTCTTGGAAATGCAGTTTTCTTTCTTTAAGCCCATTTAAAATAATTATGACTATGTAGAGTCGAGTTCAATAGTACAACTGTGAAAAAAATAAATCAATCGAGGAGTGCAAGACTTACTACAGGCTGTCTTTAATATCATGAAACCAAGCCCCATGACAAAGGTGACGGATGGAAAAATTGGCAGTCAAAAAGAAGCATCTTTTTTACTGATCACGTTTTTTGCACTTTAGTCCAGTGCAATCTCTTACCAGCTGCCAGCCCAGACAGGGAACCGAGGCAGCAAGAGAGGGCAAATAAGAGTTCTCAAACAAAATGCTACAATGTCTCTCCCTGTCTCAGGGAAGAAACTGTATCTAGAACCACAGAAGGAACAGCTAAAACAGCAGCACTGATTTTTAAAACTTTCACTTATCTGTAGGGAGGAGTTGTGAAAAAAAGTGAAATTTTTCAGTCATTGCGTACTAAGTTGGGCAAACATTTTGAAGGAAAGGAAAAACAGTCATGCTCTATTTTCACTAACTATAATTATTAACTCTTATTTTCATTCATTAAGGCTTTGTGCTCTCCCCAGGAATCCATCTGAGAAAAGCATGAAAACCTTAATCGTTTAAGGTAAAGAGTTCACTTAGTATTCTACATCATAGAAATGAACCTTCACAGTTCCAATGCATCCAAAATGTTATATTTCAGATTTTATTCTATGAAATACTGAAGTTTCACATGCAATTTGCCGGAGAGAATAGAGATACAGTACTAGACAAGTGATATGCAAGTATATAAACATGCATAGAAAAAGACTGAAAAAAGCATTCCTTCTAAGAAATCAGTGTTTTACTCACAGAACATTGCTTTTAAATTGTAGAACTTTTGGCTATGCCTAACATAAAAGAATATGGGGGTTGAGACTACTTGATCAGGTCATATGTAACTACAGAATTCAACCAAGCAAAGTAAGATTTCATGCAGTATACCCTATTAAAAGAGTATGTTAAATACTGGTATGGTATGAAAGCATATATACCATGTTTCTCATTTTAACTACAAAGCTACTACTATCAATGTGGCATGGTATTAAAAAACCCGCATTTTTCTATTTCTTTTCAAATAAAATTTAGTTACAAATGATGCTGCCACAAAACAAAACAATGAAGACATGAAAAGCCAGCATTATAATTGCAACCCAAAACCTGACAAACCATTTAATTATGGATTCCATAACAAACGTGCCTATCTTACATGAACTGGACAATGGAAAGGATATAAGCCAGTTGGGATGAACATTTTCTTTTTTTTTTTTTTCATTTTCTTGCTCAGCTTTTTCAGTTGTCATCTGCTGTATGACAACTCATTCAACCTGCACATTGGATTAGGCAAGGATTTCCAAAGCATTTGCATGCTAGGTCATATTTACTTCTCTCTTTCTTGTCCAGTGATCATTGAAAAAGTGTTTTGACTCAAAGGCAGCATGCTTGATAAAAGAAAGACCATGAGTTTACTCAAATTAAGCAACTCATCAATGAAACACAGGAAGAGCATCTGGACAGAATCTAAGCACCAGCCGTGGCTACTTGAAGTCCACTAACTGGTCCATAAAGAGCAGCCTTCTTCCTCAGATCCTCAGCTCCCACTGTGGTGTGAAAATGACGCAAGCTGGCTGTTTCCCTGGTCTGTAACAAGTAATATTTACACTCTTAGCCTGACATTTCTCTTACAAGAACACACAGAGTCAGGCATTAAACACTTTTTGAAAGAGGATGATGATATATCAAGGTACTGTCACAGCTATTCATTCTCCCTTCCCTAAACCTGCAATCTCTCTGAGGCTTCGATAGCTGCTATAATTGTGAACATTCAACCAAACTTTTCAAAAATACTTAAGCACACACTGACTCTATGCAAAGAGCTAACTATATGCTCACATTCCCCAGACACAAACTAGGCATCCTTAGACTTAAGATACAATGTGTGTCTTCTAGGCAGTGTATCTTAGCAGGAAACCCCCTTTTTTTTTTTACTTTGTCTCCCTTTCAAGCCTGTGAAAAGCAGTGATACAGACATCAGACTCCTCGCTGTTAGAATTAATTCACACCACAATTCTGTTCAATAAGTCGAGTCTGCAGTGTTCTTTCCGCAGGATATTAATCTTTCTAAAAGCATTCTTGCTCTTCTTCACTGTTACCATCTAATAGCAGTAATTACTTCTTGTTCTGTGTTATCAGATGTCACAGGTATTAAATGACTTTTTTTTTTATCATTGGATTGAAGTATCTAAAGAAGATTTTCTTTAAGAAGCAATCACTGACAAAAGGAAGCACAAGAGCTCTGGTTTATATGGCTACATTTGCAAAGACAGATGCAGCAGATGTGCCCACAAACATAAATAGTCATTAAGGAGGTCAGAAAACTGCATCTGCAGAGCTAAGTACACATCCATTCTTTATATGCACTCCTGCCTAAACATAGTGACTTAGAAGCTACATTCACATGCCAACCGTCTTCTACAATATTATGTAAATGACATATTTAATAATCAGTAATTTAGTAGATCAGCTTGGATTTTTGGTACAAAGGGAACTACAATACCATCTTTATATATGGGAGATCATGACTGGAAGACAAAATGGGTTCCTAAGGACAATCTAGAAAGCATAGCAGAAAATAAACATTAGGATTTTTTATTATATATATGCATTCACAGTATATCTTCATCAATTGAAATTTAATCACCTTTTTACAATTTAGAGGAAAAGGTAGGTTTTGGGGTAGTTAAGCCATGTATCATCAATACCATGAAGCTAACCTATCAGTTATAATAGCTCCTATAAAATACCAGAGTGAAATTGCAATAAGCCTAGAAAATGGGCTACAAATCCCAGATATGCTCAAGCAAGCACTGAACCAAAAATAAAAATAGGTAGATAGGAAATCAAGAACTAGAGAGCATTCATCTAATTCACGACCACTAACACAGAGATCACAGGCCAAGGTTTTAAAGCATCTTATTCAGCTCCAAATGGCAATTACTGGACAGAGACTTCAATTATAAAAACCTTCCCTCTGCAAATCGAGTTAAATTTCAATAAGTTCCTTTCTATTCTCTCCACATATAATAACTATTACATTTCTCAGAAGTACCTTATGCTGTTTAGGCAAACTAAAATTTGAAAACACGTAATGTTCTCAAATAATAAAGAACATTCATGTTGTAGTATTTATTGTACTGGTCTATGTTTATCACACCTGATAAAGAAACTCCCACATTCTCTTTCTTGTCCAAACACTATCCTGATAAGAAAGGAAAAAACTGTGCTACAATTAATACATTTTAACGTTTTAATTTAAAAAGTCAAATCTCTCTTCTCATGCCCTCCTCTAAAGGAAAAAATTATAAAAATTCACTAGAAACTTATTTTAGAAAAAAAGCTATGGGAAAATACAATTACTGGATTGTACAAAAGTGCAAGGACAGCTGTAATTTTTTTTTACTTCACTTATAAACACTGTTCCTAGAGCTGAAGGCACTAAAACCCCCAAACATCTCATTTGTAGTTACAGCCTTAGAAGAGGCTCAGTCCAAAGAAATGTCTGAGACCTATGACAGGTGCATCACAAACTTGCTTTAAATTTTTTGAATACACCCCCTTCCCTTGACCACACAGATGTCAACCAAACAAAAGAGAACAAGGACACATTTTTCAAAGCAGGTTTTAGGGAGAAAAAATGTAAAACAAATCTGATTTGTACCACAAAGCATCCTAGAAATTTTTTATTACCGGAAAATCTTTGGTTTGATTTTCATCGTAAGAGAAGAGAAACATGTTTTCATACAGACATAAAGCACATAACGAAACTGTTAAACACACACCTGCCTGAAAATCTTCTCCTTCACTCACTTCAAAAGAAGTACTGACAAACAGTATCTGACGCTTTCTGCCATTTGAGTACACACAAATATTTTATTACAGAGAATTGCAGTGAAAAGAGTCAGGGTCTTTTTACAAAGAGCAAACACACACTATCAGGCAGCAGTGGCACTGTAGTCTTACTGTTCCACTACCTATCTACAGCACTAGGGAACAAACATGAGAGGAACATGCTTTTTTTAAAAAAACCTCTCAGAACAGTGCACATTAGCTAACAATAATGAAAACACCTACCAGTGCATTCTGGTTTCCTGAAGCCTTTTTTATGTTTCTTGCTGGCATTCCATGAAGATGACTACATCTGCTCTGGAAACCTACAGAAAAAAAGTATGAACTGATTTAAGAATACTTCCTATACCACAGAACCAATAAAATTCACCATTACATACCAATCTATAAATACAAATTCAGTTAAATAAAACCAACTTACTATTGTCAAACATTTTACTGGTGGAAACAAGGGGCACAGAATGGGAAAATTGAGAGAAAGGATAAGTTGTAATGAAAAATCAACCTTTCTGCAGCTATTCATACTGCCATCCTGGGTTCCATGCACAGTTGGCTGCATAAGCAGAACATACTGAACTACAGGAGGAAAGTGATTTTTGCATCACTTACAACTTCATTAGTACTATAAAACATTAAATCTGGCAAATCTGCAGAGATCAAGTCCTCAAAAATTATTTCAATCACCTAAAAAAGAAGTCTTACAAAAAAATTCAATACATTCAGTGTGCAGAGTAGTTTAAAAGTGATGTGACCACTGCTCACATAGAATTTGAATGTGAAAGGAGATCCTCGTGGCAGAGGGAAGGTATAACAAAATTCTTTGGCAGCAAGCTGAGGTCTAACAACTTCTTTAGACAAGAGTGGGTTTCTAGCTGTAAATGCAATCTAATGCTGGTAGAACTTACCATTGGTTACACTGGATCCACAGTTGTCTGAAGTGTTTTAAAGAAATAAAGAAAAAGGGTATTTTCTAAGTTACAATCTCAATCCTTGCTCTAAAGGAATCCTTTCCTCTTCTCTACAAACACTAAAGCCTGACCATAAAGCAAGGTAAAGCAGATGGTCATAGTAGTCTTTCCAGCCTTTGAATTAATGAACTTCTATAGAATTCTATACATTATCACAGAAGTCAGGAACAAAATTGATTACCTAGATTCACTTTAAATAACACTTAATAATTCTCAATGCAAACATCAAGACAACAAATAAAAGAGCAGGCTATCAAAATGAGCTACTTTACATTTTCTGACTTTTCTGATATTTGACGTTTTTTGAATTATTTCTCCCTAATGATACCCTAAAAATTAAATAGTTCAAGGAAACAAACTGATAACTCCAAGATCTTGTCCACATTTTATATATTTTATATAATCCACAGATATCTTTCTATTGTACCCAAGTGATTCTACAGCTTGCATTTGCTTGATTGGCTACTTACCTCTCCTCCCTGAACGGGACATAAGAGGGAAAGTACCAGTTAAGATACTTTCAAAGACTGGATCAGGCAATTCTCTCTCCAGTTCTGTGGAGTCTTCTTGTTCCCACCATGGAATCACTCCTGTAATTCCACATGCTCCACCAGATTCATTTTCATGAAACCAATCACTTTGCTCATCATCACCTGTGTGAGGGCAGTATCCCCAATTCCCCCCAAAAAAGAGGGAGGAGCGGAGAAGATAAAAATTAGATGTTACCATCAATAAATACTCTGACAGGATTATTATTTCTTTTGCTTTATAGCTGTATGACAATTACTTCTGTATAGCAGTTCTATTTGGAAAATGTTTCTCAACAGCATGACATGCATTGCCATCAATGAAACATCATAAAATGTAATGTTTTAAAACCAATTTACAATAGTGAAAACAATAATAAACTAGTTAATCCCTCTGGCAATAACTGTGGGGAAATCCATTTAAGTTACTGCACTTTACATATTAACAAAAAACAAGCCCTAATCTCCTGCAGGGAATTAAAAGGTATAAAACTGAAACTAGTTCTTTGCAGCTGATAATGGTATATAATTAGCTTAATTTCATGATTTGTATGGCTAGTAAAAAGGGAAAACAATCATGAACAGATGTGACTAAATGAAGTTAATCTGATTAAGTTCATTTAGAAATAAGTTTTGAAAAAGTTGATTTTAAATGCAAACTGACAGTATCATATGATTGAGAATTATCCTGCATTATACTACAAAGCTGGTCATTTTTACTGACAATATTTGTAGATGTAGTATTTAAATACTTGGATTTAAAGAAAAAAATTAAGACAAGACTGAAATCTGATCTTAAAATTAGCTCATAAGCACACTGGGAACTAAAAATAAATTGTTACATTTATTTTAAAACATGTTCTTTCATACAAAACATGTAGTTTCAGAAGATCAGAAAATATCTTCAAAAGACATGGTAAATTTCCTTTCCTATGCCCATAAATTAAAGTATGTGATGTATATTTTAATTCTACTTCAAACTATTCAAACCATGCCTCAATATTTCTGCATATAAATTATATGTTTGTCATTTAGATTTTTATTTGGGGAGAAACTAAGCAACATACAAATGCAAGAATAATTAGAGCCAATTTTCCAGAATAAGAAAGCATCTGGGTGTAAAATTTCATTGCCACTCAACCCCACAATGGGAAAATACAAATAATGAAAACCCAAGCTAAAATTTGGGAAAAATAAAATTCAAAACAATTTCTCCAAATAAATTGTTGCAACATAAAGAATATTTGAGATCAAGCACAAGTGAAAAGTTCTGTGAACATTCAATCAGGACAAGTACTTCAAGAAAATATAAAATAATTAAGACCCTTCACTAGTCACTTGCAGGTGAAATGGGATCTTTATGTCTTTAATGATCACTACTAAAAGCAAAATTAGCAGAGGCTAAACAACGGGACCTTTTAGATGGAGGAAGGAAGAAACAGAGGTGAAGAGATATATAGGTCAAAATAAGGTTTAAATTTCCTTGCATTCCTGGAGCATTTCAGATTACTCTCCCTATTCATTCTAATCCTTATTTATAGTTATGACAGTCACAAAGGTGTTCACCATTGATTTTATCCTCATTTTGTTACCAGTATGGGCTCTTTGGAGGACGTCTAAGAGTACTGAACAGGGACAGTGGTGGTGGTGATAGAAAGAGAATTACACCTTTTCACTAGATTGATCTGTGGTTCAGAATTAAGCTTGAAATCCTTTCTTTTGATTTTCCAAACTTTTATGCAGATAAACTTTGTCTGAACATTTTGTCAGGAGAGCTGTAGACATGTTGACTAATAAGAAATACTATTAGGAACTCAAAAGTATTCTTGTTACACGTAAATAATCTACAAAAGTAAGTACAGAATTCTGAAATGGCTCAAGGACAGAAGCCTGTAAGAGGCATGTTATGCAGTCTCAGAAGAAAATTAGAATTTAAGACCATGTTGGTGGACTGCATAATAAGACAAAGAGTAGCTGTGGAAGAAAACCAGTATCTTCCCCATTTGCCCATTAACAGCTCTTTGGGAAAAAAAAGGATAAAATTACTTTTCCTTTTTGTGCAATAGGAATATTAGTATATTAAGCAACAATCTTTTAAGATATCTTAATTGTTATGCTACTGTACACCTCCCCAAGCATTTCAGTTCATTACTGCCAAAGGCAGGCTTAAGATCTGAACCTGTCTTTTCCCATATGAGAGAAGAACATAGGTCTTTAGCTTCCTTGACTGTGCACTTTAAACAACTCGGAATTCTCTGACTATTTGAAATCATATTATCACCTCGAAGCAAGCACAAACCTATTAGTACTATTCTTATCCAGGTGAAAGCACTCACAGGCATTTTGTTTACCAGTTGTTCTACCTTGAAGGGTGACATTTTCAAAAGGAGTCAGGGAAGACCACTGCATTTAATCATAAATATATATATATACACATATATATGTGTGTGTATATAAATATATATATCCACACACATATATGCATGTGTGTATATATATATATCCACACACATATATGCATGTGTGTATATATATATATCCACACACATATANATATATATATCCACACACATATATGCATGTGTGTATATATATATATCCACACACATATATGCATGTGTGTATATATATATATCCACACACATATATGCATGTGTGTATATATATATACACACACACATATATATGTATATATATATATATGCAATAAAACACAGGGGGCTTCCAGCCCAAGAGTTTGGTAACCAAATACTAGGATTTTATCCTACTTAATTTGCAGTTCTCAAAAGGCAGCACAGTATCCATAGCAAATGTGATCTTACAGGAAGCAAAAATTCAAAGTAACACTTTTTACTTCAAAAGATTCACTATACTGTCCTTTCCTCTCAGAGATGTTGATTCAGCACAGGACTACAATAAGTTATTACATTTTTCCAAGGTACAGGGAAGTTAAAAAGACATCCAGATCTCCAGAACTTAAGCCCAGGCATTCTCCTAAACACATATATAAAGTACATCCAACTTGTTTGTTTATAATGCTAACGCTTAAAGGAATTACTTCAAAGTAATTTACATTCAATTATAACTGTACTGATCGCAGAATCATAGTATCATAGAATGTTAAGGGGTTAGAAAATCAATTTAAGGCTCAGAAATGTCAACTTCAATCCTAAAATTTCAGGGCCGGTTTCTGGCTTAATTTATTTAGTTATTTTTAAGCTTTCCCCTCCACCCAATTATTGTTTCCCTAATTTTCACTCTACATTATTGAGTCTACATATTTATGTAATTACTACTCCATGTTAAATTACTTGCTGCCTTCTTTAAGAAGTTTAGAAAATGATTTATGTGGGCTTCTGATGGTTTCTCTATGGACACAGACACCATTTGCATCACCATCGGTTTCATGTTCAGAAAAGCTTCAGCTCAATCTTATTTTAGCTAAAGCAGTGCAGGATTATAACCAACCAACTTCCCACTGCACAAAAATAGACAGTTTTATCCCTCTTTCCAGTTTTATTTCAAAATGTCCAGACTACCCTTAAGAGCAGAGGTTACATGTGTTTGCCTGTAACAACCACAACATACTCGGAGAGGCTACTGTGAAAAGAGTTTGGCATCAGTGTCCTACGAACACCACTTGATACTGTGCTGCTCCATTATCCATCAACCCACACACAAGGAGCAGGAACACGTGGCCTGGGAATACCCTAGGATTCCAGTCTCATTTCCACAGGCAGGGTACCTCTTTCTAGGCAAAAAAACCCCACTGCTAACAGCTGTAATAATCATTTGGAGACATCAAGAGATTCACTATAACACATATACAGAGAGTTTTAGGAAAGCAGAAGCTGAAGTTACCCGTTCACAGAGGCACAATGCATCTTGCTCTTCATGTTCTACAGAGCTATCTTGACAAAAGGTGTATATATGTTATATAAATATCTAGGATTTCAGCTATTCAGGTCATATACAACAACTTCACGTTATTTCTGGTACACTTGCAAAGACTATAAACTTATTGGCCACAACAGTTCAAAACTGGTGTGATTACACTTTGCATTGCATACTCCATCTCTTTTGTATATGGAGAACCACACCCTGTCACCTTCAGCTACTGACAAGCTCTACAAGGTCCAGATTTTTCCCACTAGAGTTCTCACGAGAATTCTTATACTGAACCAGTACTGGGTCATCTTTATAAAGGACGCAGTAATGAATATTTGTTTAATCATAAAATAATGAAATGCTATCTTTAACTGCTTAGCCACATCCACAGCAGAACTGACATTCCCTGACCTTCTCCAATTTTAACTGTTTAACACTTTATTAACATAATATTCCTTCCTACTTGCTTAGATTTTAAAGGACATTTCAAATGCTTCATGCTGTGATTTAACAGGTCTTAAGTCAACTTTGAATTTCCCCAAGTGTACTAATAAGTGGAGATGAATGAGGAATGCAGAGTGTTTTATTTGCTATACCCACACTATAAAATTCATTGAAGAACATACTTGCAATTTGACTTTTTTCCCCCAAAACAGGGTATCATCCACTAGTGTCTGAATAACGATAAAGTTTTGTTAACATTGTGTTGAAAGCCTAATTTGTAAAGTGCCTTTGTAAAGCAGACCCCTAAAATGCCTCAAGACTGCAAGTGATCCTACCAGTTAGGCCTATCATAGAGTTGTATTTTATGTTGCAATGCAAGACTAGACCTTTTAGTTCAGAACTTTTCTTTTGAACTTTTTATTCACCAGTTTTTAATAATTGCAAAACAGACAATTATGAAAATTCCTTTAGGAATAAAAGGAGAGAAGAGGACAAAAAGGAAAGTCATAAGGACTTTTCATACATAAGCTTCAGCTGTTGTTCAGGTCCTTCAATTACTCTGTTGTCAGGCTCTCCCATCTCCATAGTATTTTGAATTTTTTCCTAACTATATTAAATCTTTACCCAAAACTGCTGAATTTGAAAACCTCTGAAAAAAGATACAATCCATAAAAAGTCACTTGAGGTTTGTTAATAGTTCAGCAGCTATCTTTTTCACTGACTGTACCTGCACTAAGCATTTTCCATGATCTTTAAGCTTCTGCTGACTAACTGTTCAGGGTATGCAGTGTTTCACAGAATAAAAACATTTGCCACATTGACCCTGCAAATATTGAGCACCAATTACTTCTGCCAGAAGGTGACAGTGGGACAGGGCACAGCAAGAGAGCTGCTTTTGCCCTCTCACATGTAAGCACTTGGATAACTTGGAAAAGGAGGACAAACATGGCTAGGCTGAGATGAGGACTTGATGGGAATAAAACAAATGAAACAAAAAGCTGTGAGTACAGGAGCTTTTAAAAATGTTAGATGGTACACCACATATTAGAAGTTGAACAGAGAATTTTCAAGTCTCAGGATTTTCTTTTATCACAGCAACTGATGACAATTAAAATGGATGTAGCACTGCCCCCAATTACAGCTACACCTGGTTTTTTTGAATCAAATTATAAAAGTTGAAATTCTTTCTCGAGTCTGTCCACAGAAGAGTACAGTTACTGTGGCGGAATTTATTTCCATATTATTTCTGAGAAAAATCAGAAAATATTAAAGGTTGCAAGGTCAGGCACTCCAGAGTTCAGAAATAAATACTCAACTATTTAATTGACTGGTCAAATGCTCCAAGAAACCGCTGCTTTAGTCACTTTCTTGCCTAGAATGTCTGTCCCACAGGAATAATATGCTTTGGAAATTAATTAGGGCTTTATAAGGAGTATTTGTCTGCAATAAATGAGATGTGGCTCTTGATTCTGAGACACAAAATGAACAAATGTTGCCCTGGAGAACAGGAACCTCTTGTCCTCTGCTACCCAAACTTCCAAGTTATGGCAGGCACATCATTTAAACCAAGTATTTCACCAGGTGACATTAATCAATCTCTGGTTCTCCACTTGACTTAGCAGAAACCTGAAGTCAGAAGCGCAGAAAATTTGAACTACAAATGAGGTCAAGATGCTGATGTTCTGAACATATATCCTGGAAGAGGCAGACTGGGAACACGGGAATAAGAGTCTACCTTTAAAAACAGAAATCAGAATCAGCCAGTTCTTCTCTTAATACATTTTCATTTTGTCCTCTTCCAGCTTTGTTTATCTCACTTAGGCTTTTTCTTTGCTTTTATCAGATTTGCTTTCTCCTTCTTTCATTCTTGTCAATTTTGTATGTGTTTCAGTTCAGCTATATATAAATTTACAGAAATAAAATAACCTCACCTTACTTAATAATGGGAGTACAAATTACTAGCATTTACTATGAGGGGGGAATAAGCATTATTCGAAAATAAACAGTTTTGGTTTTGCAGTAGGATCTCTGATAGTACCTTCATGGAAAAGTCTCACAAAACCAAAGCTCTAATGCAGATCTAAAACTGTCTGAGGTCCAGTGTGAAGCTAACGGTCTTCTGATCATACAAAAAAAATTAATTAGTTCAAAGTAGAGATTAAAAAAATAACGTTTTATCAGGGCAATATCCTTTTCAGGTTTAATTACTATTGTTATTTTTATTTATATTTCAGAATACTATTTCAGATCTAATGCTTTCTGCTTGAAAATTGCAATCAAACTGAATCAAGATTCAAAAACCACACAGATAAAATATAAGAACTACAGCTTTACAATAAAGAGCCAACACTAAAAAAGGTAACATCACACCAGTGAAAGAACACCGTTGGTCACTGATCCCTCCCATTTTATCTTCCCACAAAATATATAAGAAAACCACAAAGCAACTGAGATGTTTTCAACCATATTACTCAAAGATTCAAATAATTTAATTCTGGATTTAAGGACAAACCTATTGATACAAATGTATCAGAAGGGTACTTAAAAATGTATGCAATTAGGAATATGATAGGTCATCTCACACACAAATATAGATGCCAAACATTTTAAAAATGGCAAGTCAAAAGACAAATTCCAATAGGGAAGCAAAAGCACATCTTTTTGACTTGTCCCATACTTAAAGAATTGTAATACTGAAGTTACGAGATGGATTTAAACTTTCAAAGAGAGCCTAAACTCTTAAAATTATGAGTTAGCACAATTGAAACCAGATACTCAGACTGGGAGGTACAGTTTGTGTAGCACAAGTTATGACTGAGCAAGGAAGGTAACACCTCTGTTTTAAGTCATCTCCTTACTGTAATGTTAAAATAAAAGATAAAAAAACCCCAAAAACCAGAAGAGACTGAATTAGACATTAGAGAAAGAAAACAAACAAACAAAACCCCCCAAACATTCCTTTAACCTACATTTGTGGAATGGGCCAGGATTTGTCTTCTTGCACCCATTCAAGTAGCCTTTGGCAAACCACATACAAAAATAACCTCCATTACCATTAACTTAAAATTTCCAAGAGAAAAGCAAGTCTTAATAACTTGAGAGATTATTTTTGTCTCATTTTTGTATACTGTCAAAGACAGTGAGTTGCTAGTCCATGAGCTGGGCACTAAGATGCATAATGCAGGTAAATGTGTTGTACCTAAAGATGGCAATAAAGGGTAAAGCTGATAAAAACACCCACCTTATACTTCCATCCTCAATTGTTCTATCATATAAAAATATGTGAGAACATTATGCATACTAAAGGAAAATTTCGAATCTTTACTGAATCTTAGATGAAAGAAAATTTTTTCAGATGGGAGATGTTACACAGCATCCGTCTTCTAGTCTAAATCTTAGACTGCTGAAAAAGTAGTTTGCTTGAAACTACTTTTCAAACAAACTACTGAATGAAAAAGAAGTATAAAATCCTGAAATTCTGCCATATCAATTTGGAGGAAAAGAAAGAAAAAAAGCCACCTCAGAAATAGTATGATAAGCAGTACTACAGAGTCCTGTCAGATTACTGGAGGAACTGAGGAATTAAAACTTAGTACAGATGGATTTTTAGGGAGATGTTTAAGTTTTAAGTAAGTATATCATATTACAGAGACTACTGCTCAAGACAGCTTTTGACTGAGTCAGGCATTCAGGTCACCCTCTGATAACACGAAAAAAAAGCAAAACAGAAAACAAGCTATACTTCAACTCATTAAAACAGTAATAGCAACTGAAATATAGTAATTAACCTATGAAATAACTTGTAACGCTTACAGAATTTCAACTGATGTGGTTTGAGGGGTGGAGAAGGGAAAGATTGTTTCAATACCTTGTCTTCCCTCATCATTGGTAAACAAACCAGCATCACTGCTGCTCAGACTGCTGGATTCACTGCAATAAGAGAGAGAAAGAAACAGATCAAAAGAACAATTGATCTTTCAGTCGTAAAATTTTAAGGAGACAAGGCTGTGCTCAGATTGAACTTAAGCCCAACAGAGATAGGAGAGAAAATAGGATGATTTTTTTTAATCAAACTGCAAATATCCTGGTTCCATTAACTACAAAGCGTATTATTTTTGGCACATAAAACCATGGGAATCTAATGGTACCCTGACAGTAAGCCAGATGTGACTGCAACGAGGTGCTGACACAATTGATGCATTTTATTATCTGCTTCCATCAAATGCTCACTGCTCCCTTCTTATGCTGTGCAATTCAGCTTGATCCTGGAACACCACTGCTCAATAAAATAGGAAAAGTCTCAATCAAAGGCAGACTAACCCCTTCCTTCAGCACATGAAATATAAGAGTCTGAAAATGGAATTACCTTTCTGAACATCATTTGCAAATATTCTGGAAAAGACACTGCTTAAGGTTTCATGACATACTACTCTGACAAAATGAAAAAAGTTTATAACAAAGGTAGCCAATTAAATCAAAATAAAGGTCACCCTGAAGAAAATAAGTACGATCCATGATCATAATATTAACAAAACAAAGCAAGGTGTAGTCTACTTTTCCATGACTTCCAGCATGGCTTTAAAATTAGAATATGTGTTTACAACATCATGTATGCATATACATCTCTAAATTCAAAGACATGAATAGGTATTTAGTTCTTTGCTCTATACACATTGCTACAAACAATATTCCACGTCTCTAAAGAGTAAAACAGACTGGACTTTTAACAACACAGATCACAATTTGTTGAGTTTCACATGAAAAGATTTTTATGTAAACCTTTTATTTTGTTTTGTATCAGGAGAGTAGCTCTTTTAAAGAAATAATATTCTTACCAAAATTTAATCACATTTTACTCACATTGGGATCTAGAAGAATTTGAAAAAAAAACCCAAATACTTCTGTTCAGCACACAAATTCGAGTACATGCTATAAGTGGTATGGCTAACCTTGATGTTTCATACAAGCTACTCACAAGAACTTTAGGTCTGTTTACCTTTCTACACTTAACTCATATTACAATATGCATGCAATCCTACACTTGAAAGTCAACTGGTTCCAATTATTTTTAGCTACTTTCTAATGATAAATTATTTTTATTTTAAACAACTAGAACACTTCAGAAAATTATTGCCTTTTAAATTCTAATGTCTCAAAAAAATAAGCCTCCTTTTTTTAAAGCTTGTAATATGAATTATATAAAATTAGTCTCATTTGTGTTTAATTATAAGCATATATTTGGTCTTTTCCTCTCTCTCTGGGAGGCATCTCAACAGGATTTGAAACACAATATGGTAGCAGGAGACACAAAGCAGTGATTATTTCTTTAAAACACATATATATTATATAGACACAGGTCTGTGTTTGAAGATTAAGTTGTCCTAATCTTGGCTGTACCTTAGGCTTACCCATAGTGCATAAGCAATACTTATACTCTCTTTTAAACAAAATATAATCAGAACAGACTTAAGCACTTGCACAATTGCCCTATGCAGAAGAAAGATGACACACATGCAATAAGAATGGAACCACCTTTCATGAGGGAGACCAAAACTTGAACTTTCTAATGCTGTGAATCCTTGTAACTCCCTTCAAGCAAGCGTCCCATCCTCACTTTAATTATAACATAGATGGCTTTACTATCCTTAGATTTCATTGGACACAATTTTACATCACACATCTACAAGAAAAAACATTCCTTTTTCCCAGATTTTTCTTGTCCACTTATTGTTTAATTGTACTTTTTAAAATGAAAGTTCATAAATCCTTTCAACCCTGATATTTCAGCCATTTTCCTACCAAAACTTCCAATTTTGAGAACAGTCTCCTTCCTTTTTTTAAATAAGATATTTTAATTGTGCAATAATTCTTACTGAAGGACTAATCAGTGCATGAAAATATAACCACTTGAAAATAAATTTAAAAAAAAGAATTAAAAAAAAAAGTTTCAGAAAAAAACCCCCTCAAACTAACACTGTCATATCCATCCATGCCAGCTACAGCATTCACCCTCCTCAGGCCACAGTCACATAGGGCAAGGATTACAGTCAAGATAATTGCTACATGGCAGTCATTTCACTAAATAAATTCAAAACCTCTGGAATTAATACATTAATATCTAAGTAACATGAAAGCTGTTATGATGGAATTTATTTTCAGTTTTAATATCATTTTGCACTTTACACTGCTAATTCCTTTGCTTTGTAATGAGAATTCCGCTCCCAGCATGACTTCCATGAAAAAAAAAAAAAGCCACAGATTCCTTTTAGTCCTGTAAAATAGTGTATGCAAGCAAAAACTTGGAAGGAACAGCTATGCTATCCAAAAAGCTTTCACAGCTTAATTTCTACACTTGGTGGAAACAAAGAGGAAATGACTGTCATTTGCGGTTACTGTTACAAACAAGCTGTCTGGTACCTTGGGCTTATATGAGACGTGGGCTTTGTCCTGTTCCCAGGAACTGCCCAGCTGCTGTGCTCCCACTGACCCCAGGCTGGTGGGTGGCTGTCTCTGAGTTTCACTGCTGCCTCTTTTCCAAAAGGGGCAATTGAGATTTCCCCTCTCTTTAGTCGCTCTAAACACAAACAAGTGCCAAAGCTTGCAGGGATTAAATATCACCCGGAACACCACACACTGCTGAATTTGGCTGAAACTGGTCAAAAGCTAAGCACCCAGGATATGTGAGGATGAGCAAAGGACAGGCTCTGATCACAAAAATCTAATTTTCAGTGCTTAAAACAAATATCACAGGAATTCATCTCTAGGATCATTTAGATGCTGACATTTTAAGAGTCTGAAGATTCCTACTACTGCTCCTGAATCCTGCACTTAAAACCTTGTTATTGCTGTGTTTGGCTTTTGAACACTCACACAGACATAAAAGACTGCAAAAGAAGTGTCATAGCATTTTTAATGTGCACTTCAAATACGTGTTATGTTATTTTCAAGTAATGTCATATGTACACGTGTATACACTGAAAATTTCTCACTAATTTTAGAACCAAGCAATTTAATTCCCATTAAAAATTATCGTCTTTGTTTTTTTAAAAAAAAACAAAAAAAACTTCTAAAAAAATTTACCTTTTTTAAAAAAAAAATTATCGAACTATATTATTGCACACATTATTGAGAACAAAACTAGAGCAGTTTTGTGTACTTTTTATTCTTCCTCTTCCAGCAAGTGTTGCTGAAGTGCAAATCTTATCCAAGATCCTTTGTTAGCTCTCTCTATCTTGTGCAATCTCATGCTCCCTTTTAAAACCTCAGCTTTCACTTTCAGAACATAGTCTTAAGAGAGTTTGCTGGTTCTTTCCAATTCTTCTGTCTAAATGATCTCAGACAATAAAGGCACTACTGCATTTAAGTAAAGTTAGATTAAAACAAGTTAAAATTATGCACATACAAAATATTCTGATGCAGTATCACCTGAGAGGCTTAGATATGGTGGATTTCTAATCACACTATGAAATGTAACTTTTTTAATTCAGTAATTTCCAAATTTATTGGTACAGATGACCATTGGAAGAAATTCTGTCACACGACAGACCATCACTCAACCATGTGCACAAGCAGAAAACAGTAGGAGGATGAGAATGGTTTTAAAGACAATTTACTGGGGCCATATACATGCATTTGAAGTATGATTTGAGAAACTGCATCATTCGGGGTAACAAAACATAAAGCATTTTGAAGAGGAAGATCAACTTTTAAAACAATAACATCTCTTTTGTGAAAAAAGATATTCAGTCTGACCTGAGAGTTGCTCAGTTTTTGGGATCCTTATTGATCACTCTCCTCTCCACCCAAAAATTAGCTACAGAATTTGTGAGCTGAATAACTGTTATCCTTGTAGCATAACAGAAGATCTATAAATAAAAAAGTGACAAGACTATGGACACATGATAAATTATGCAATGGTTCCTAGCTTGAAGAAAATTTTTAAACACCTGCCTTTAGGTACCAAACTTGGAGTAACAGAATGCCAGTATCATCAAAGAAGAGAGTTTGCTAAAGGCTTCCTGACAACACACACTCCTGTGTTGCATGGGTGAGTTCTGCTCCAGTAATTAAGATGCTGGGAACAATGTTTAACGCTTGGGATTAATTCAGCTTTTTCAGCTGCTTATTGTTCACAGGTGAGGGACAAAGCTAGTATGTAATAAAAAGACTTGGGACTTTTCTGTCAATAACTGGAGTTAGTCACTTATCAACACTGTTTTTATTACAGCAACCAATCTGTCTGCTCTGGTCAAAACCCCTGGATACTCTCTGCATCTCAATTCTACCCGTCCAGTTCAGAGATAAAATGCCTACCAAAAAGAACAGGAACACTAGTGCTGTCAAGCAATTGATTAAAATTATATCTTCTAATGTGTGTCTTTCTTGTTGACACTTCTGCATTCAGAACCAGGCACATGGAATAAACATAATCAAGCTTACCAGGCCCTGCAGTTAACATCCCTTGTGTATGGTGGAAAAATGACTTACACCTTACTGTGTTGTCAAAATAGTACTTTGGAAACAATTACCATTGTAGTATGACTGCTGTCTGGAATGGATGGATGAGGTGTACTGCCAAAGGGTCATCATTCCTCCATTTTTCTAATGGTAAGCTCAGGTGTTTCTGAACTGTAAATTGGTTTTTGCATTTCGTAAATGATGTATATCCTTGGCAACCTGCAGACTTTTTATGCCCATACCACATAAGAACATACTGTCTAAATGGTGACTCTAAACACTGACAACCTTTCTGACAAATAGAGATAACAATCAGAGCACCAATGTCTAGAAATTGGAAAATCACTTAATTCTTGTCTGAGAACTGTCGAACAGTTGAAATATCCAGAAAAGAACATATTAATCATATGTATACTTTGTCATTCTTAATCTTGAAGCAATTAGAATGTATTATTTCAAGAAACTGTTTTCTTGGTTATTTCTCTGCCCCATGACTATTTTATGCTGAATTTCTTAACCTAAGCAACTCATATATATTAAAAACAGTACATAAAAAATTAAGAGTAATTTATTAAAACAGATACTATTGATGCTAGAATTTTAACTCTGGAACTAAGAAAAAATCCAAAGACTCCCAATACAAGCATCTGTAATAAAAGCAAATATTATCCAAAGTTTCTTTAAGAAGAAAGAGAAAGAATAACCTGTCACTCATGTTCTCATCTGAGCCTTTTTGCTCCTCATATTCCATTTTGTCCTTATTTGCTTGGTTCACTTCTTCATTTTCTATAACAACTCCTTCATCCAAGATTTCTGGTCCTTGACGAGCTGCAGATACTTTTCTTTTTTTCACTTTGCTCTTGGAAAACTCTTGGTGCTGGTATGATTTATTGTTATTGTCCATTTCTTGATCTCTGCTGTTATCCTGCTGCTGAGTTATTGTCAGTGCATTAGAGACTTCTGATGGCAGATCTATCGCCATCCGTTTTACCTTTCTTCTCCTGCGCAAAGTTCTGTTTCCCAAACTGTCAACAGCCAAATCTGGTTCATGCCACAGAGGTCTTTTGCCTCTGATGTTATTTAAGTTTGAGGAAGGCCTACGTTTAGCAACCAACAACTGGTCATCAGAGTCACTGTGGTCTTTCTTATTAGCATGATTCTCCCTGTAGTCTTTGTTTGATTCCTCTAAACTGGAATCGGAACCTTCACTTAAGCAGTGACCAGTCTCCCAGGGATGATGGGTGGTAAATGAACGCCTTTTCCGTCCCCTCCTTTTCCTTGCCTGTCGCTTCAGAAGACAAGACACACTTCTAGAATGATCTCCAGTATCAGCAAAACCTCCTCTGGCTTGCTCTGAACTTTCTTCCAGTGCTGAGACCAGATCATGAACCAGCTCCTCCATAGTCCTACTGAAATGCCTAAATATTTCAGGGAAAAGAAAATACACAAGAAAACAACAAATTAATCTGAAGTGTTAAGCATAAACTATAACAATTTTATTTGGCAAAATCATTTGGGTCACTTTAGGTAAGGTAGTAAATGTCCATCTTATAAAGATTATTCCATTTCTTCCAAGAGACAAAAACTCACCAACCAGTCCTCTGCAATTTGCAACACATCAGCATACAGTGCTTTTAAAAGGTATCTTCTCAAACGTGGAAAGAAGAGGCAGGCAAGGTGTTTCCCCACTTGTTTCTGGCCTCACTATTATTGTTTGTTTTTAATTTACCTCATCACACTTTCATGATTTTCAGCGATTCCATGCGGCAAGAGCATCAACAAAGACCATTCGCTCTAACTGCAGGTAAGGAGCACATTTTAAATTCACGAATGGGAAATGGAATATATCATATTCTCTCTTGATAGTACATTAAGGAGTTCTGTTTAAGAGTCGTCATTATTATAAAATATTTTTAAGGATAATTATCTCCTGATGTTGCCTAAATGCCAAAATGAAGTTAAGACAGTAACTCTGACAATATGACTTTGTTCTTAATTCTGTCTTTCCAAATGGCTGATTTCTGTTTGATTTTAAAAAAAATACTGATTCAGTGAAGTTACATTAAATTGAGAGAATACCAGCTACAAATAATTCTAGAGTATTAAATGCAAAGTTCCTACCTCATGTAAGCACTTACATCCATAGAATCACGTGCTTGCATAAGGAAAAAAATCCCTAAACACACACATTGACTGATTCAGGCCTTATCCCTTTGGAATATTTTGCTCCTTCCACCTCAAATTTCACTAGCATTTAGCATGTCTTTAACTCAGTATACTTCAGTAAGTTCACCCATGCATTACATGAACATAATTATGAAAAAAAAAATTAAATGATTGCTGCTGAACTCTAATCCTTCTCTGAAGACTGTGAACCTTCTCTAAACACACGACCAGACTCTCACATTGAAACATCAGAAGACCCCTTTTGCTGAGGTAAAGCAGAGAACATTGTTGATGCTCTCTACAGCATTACACTGATACATATGGAAGATACTCAGAAAATTATGTAGAGGACATTTAGAAGCAAGACTTTTCACTTATTTTAGAGTATAAAGTGATGGTGGAATTAAAGCTTTCTACCCATACCCAGTGGTGCTGTAGATTTGGAGAAAACCTTGACACACGGCTTCCCCCTGTCACTTACCACAAACTTCAATGTTAAAGGTACTTAAGGGTGATGGCTGAACAGACAGTCATGATCACATGGTACAAAAATTTTAAATATTAATGGAAAAACCAAAGAACACGTTTACAAAGAAATCCAAGCTGCTCATGAAATATCTTACCTAAAGAAATTATATATTCTCCTTTTAAACGATTTTCAGAAAGACTTATTTTTAAACATTTCAATTGCAAGATCAATAAAAGCACAGAAAGTGGTAGAAACACAAGCTTATTTTAAATTCTTGAAACTACTGTGTCACTTATCTCCCTCTTTTTCTGTCCTGCTGTAATCTCTAGTCATATTAGTCCCTCCTTATTTTATGTTTTCTTTGGCTCTCAGTACAGCAGTTATCATATTGTCTTGTAAGTGGTGAGACAGCTCTGGAAGAATGCTACGCTTCTCCTTAATCTATTTGGTTCACAAGAATGAAAACATCCATAATCACACAAAATTACTTCTCAGAAGCAAAAGAAGCAACATAGGAGGAAAAGCATTCCAAATGAAGCAACAATTTTCTGAAAATTCAGAAAGAGAAAAGTGGAAAAGTGGAAGTCAATTAGTCTAGAAAGTACTTCTAAATGTGGCAGCACAATGATGTAAAACTAATTCTTTCTTTGATTTTTCAAAGATTCAATTACTGCAGAGGGTTTGGGGGGGTGAGGGAGGTGTTTGGTTTTTGCTTAGGTTTTCTTGCTTGTGTGGTAGGAATACACACAGGATGCCTGAACATATCAGTCCTTGTTTCTCAGTAGCTATAACTGCAAAATGGGGAGGGCACTGGCCCCTTTAGCCTTACTATTAAACCCACAGGAAGAGATATATCCTCACAGGTGCTCATATCAGAAATGAGATACCATTAAGATTTAAGGGTCTTCCTAAGACTTTTGTACTAATATAACAGGAGCTGTAACACTCAAACAGGCAAACTCCAGCACATTTGGGTTAATTTGAGACACCAATTCCCCCAGCTGCCTGCCCAGCCCTTCTGGCACAGACTTTTGCATTCACAGCTAACTGACAGAACTGGAGGTGCACCAAAAACTGAAACAGTAGGCTTAAACCTGCATTTAGCTCCCAAAACGAACAGGTTTCTGCTAATCTGCCAGAATATGAACTAGCCTGTACGTTTCTTGCAGCCCATTCTGCCAGTGCCCCTGCAGCACAAAGCAAAAGGGAAAGACAGGGACACTAATGTCTTACACCATAGTTTATGATTAATTCCTTCAATTCAGCATCCCTAATCTGTATGGATAACTGTATCACTAAAATCAATGTAGCTCCTAGTGTGGACATACCAATTTACTCCAGATAAGTAAGGTGGTAAAGTTGTCTTAGTTCCAAAAATACTTCAAGATCAAACACAATATACCAGCTCTGATTTTTATACCTGAATTCTTGCCTTGAATTCTGGCCAAAATACTGTCAATACAGATTGTGCCAGATCAAAAGACGAAAGTCAAGAAGAGTGAACACCCTTAAGTGTTTTTGACATAAAGGGTTAACAAGATTCTTAAAAGGCCCTGAGCGGTAAAAGGACTTAATTTCCAGCAGACTATGACTTTGAATATTATGCACTCCTGCAATTAATCTTTTCTACTGAATATCAAGTCTCTTCATTGCAACTCCTGAATTAAGATTTGTACAGGGCAGTGATCTTATTTACCCTAAAAACTGCAGTCATGGTTCAATGTATAATATAACTATCATGGTTGTATTATGTCTTAGGCAGATTGGACAAATCAATATTGTAATTATTTCAACATGTTTCCTTAGAATGATTATGAGAATTACTTGATCAGTTTGGGACTGTGCAAGCTCCTTTGCAACAGATTGAGAATACAATCACAAATCACTTCAGCTTTTTATTCACATTGCATTTTCCACATGCCAGTGGTCCATATTAAAATTCCTTCTCCTGAAAACTCAAAACACCTCTTTTGCTTCATTTTATTGTTGCTCTCATTTCTCCTGCTATAATTGAAGAATTAAAAAAAGGCAGCAGCAACTAGATAGAACAGTTAATCTCAAACCTATCTTCAAAATTCAGGAGCATATTTCTATTATAGCATTATTTATCAGACAAACTCAGTTTTGAAACTTTCTCCATAGTTCACAACCAGCTGTCAAGCTTGTATTCCAAACCTATGAAGCAATTTTAATCATCACTGCAGATGGTACTGTAACAAAAATATTTGCATTTGAAACAAGTTGAAAAATAACTATAAGAAGTATTAAAGACATTACCAGTGAGTATCAACAATATTCAGTAAGATAAGAAATTTCAAAGGTTGTAACAATGAATGTAGAACAACATAGTGAGGTACAGAAAATATTAAGATGAGCCACAGTTTAGTATGACTCACATAAGGCTATAAAAATGCACTTACAGCAACAGCCCACAGCTAGCAATAAACTGTAATGTCCTCACTAGGAGAAGATTCTACTTTACTACAAGAAAATCTAGTTTGCCTACACTGACCTTTACATTCATCTGAAGCAATTTTAATGTAGTTCACCAAAGGCTGACTCTTTTCCTCTCAGACCCTCACCAAAACCGACCATATAAGTACTGTTTGCAGGAAACAGAGTAACTGCTTTCACCTGCTCCAAAACAGACCACACGGCTTCTGTTCAGTATTAATATTCAAATTGAAAATCCTAAGGGAAATAATGGGCACTTACTTTTTCAGTGAAAATTAAGTATCATTTGTCTTCACCTCCCACCTAAAGCATGTAACAATGTAGAGCTTTGGCTGCCCGCAAAATATTTAACAAACACACACTGATGGGAAAGTTAATTTAGTTGCACAGCTCTTAAGGAGAGGCATTATCTCTTACCAAACCAACAGCTGCATTTATATTTCCTTTCTAGTTCTGTACCTTTTCCTGTTAAATAGGTAAGGGGTTTCTTGTAGCTAAATTTATGCTGCATCTGTGCCTCATCAATTCTGAAAAAAACCATGAGTTTTGCTGTCTTCACAACCCAGCTTGATCACAAGCTAAAAGCACAAGAAAAATCAAAGAGTTCCTTGAACATCGGGATTATAAAACTCAAATTCTTATAATCTTTTCCCATATGGATTCTCTGATGTCTTGTAACACAGGTGTACTCACAATGTACCTTTATCTTCAGACAGCTACTAATTTGAATCCCATTTCTCCACCTCAGAAGCTATTTTCACAAAGTCTTAGACACATTAGTTTTGAGACCCCTGCTTTATTAATGAGTGCGACAGAAATTTGGATTGAACAGGTGCAAGTATTTGGGAGGTAGCAGAAAACGATAAATCTCACTGCCTTGCCTGAAGAATTTATGGATTCAAAAAAAGAGAACTATCATGTTCTTGGGACACATGAAGGGGGAAGCAAAATGAAGCAACACAACTGAATTAAAAAGCTAGCAAGAGACTGTGGTAGATTAGGAAATAACTGATAAACCTATGTTCCGTAGAAGGCTCTTCTCTCAGGTAACAAATATCAGGACAAGAGGAAATGGCCTCAAGCTGTACCAGGGGAGGTTTAGATTAGATATTAAGGAAAAATTTCTTCACTGAAAGGATGATCAGGCATTGGAACAGGCTGCCCAGGGAAGTGGTGGAACCGCCATACCTGAAAGTCTTCCAAAAAACATGTGGATGAGGCACTTGGTATCATGGTTTAGTGGCGAACACGGCAGTGCTGGGTTAACAGTGGGACTTTATCTCAGAGGTCTTTTCCAAATGTAATGATTCTATGACCAGAAACTGAAGTTGTACCTAGACTATTTAAACTCACCTGTCATTAAAAAGCCATCTCTACGAGGAGGACAAAGCATCTGGTTCCACATCCACACCTATTTATGTCCTTAGGCTCTGTCTGCTGGACAATCAGGTAAGAAAAGCTACACTACGACCAAAACGTATTGCCCCCTTTCCACCCTGTATCGACCATTGCTACAGGCACAGCAGCCAGTTACCAAGACTCTGCACTCTCCCACTTCTAAGGATCCGGCTTCCCCAAAAGTCTAAAAGCCAATGCACCGGCAACACGTTCAAAGTAAATCTGACACGCAGATCAAAGAAACTTAATACGAATGTAATTTTCATACTATAAAATTTAAAAATGTGACAGTATCAGAACAGACACTTACAGAAATTAAGCGGTTTTGAATTTTATATAATAATAATGGCCAGTCTTCGCAAGCGAAGATTTTGGGAAAGGTCATTGACCCTTC